GTAGCTGCAACCCACCAAGGCCAGTACTCATGTCAAAACCTTCAAATCTGAAGTGTTGTGATTCGTGGCTGCATTCAAACTCTGTAAATCAAACCAGTGAGACCTAAAATATAACACAGTTGCATCATGATGGCCAGTCCTGTCCTGATCTAACAGAAGTCACTGGCTAACCTAGACTCAGCACACATTGCCTCCAGTGACTGAATAAAACAGGTTGTCCCTTGAATCTCAAATGTCACCTCCTTAAGTCATGCACTCTGTCACAAGTTATTCAGCAGCTGCTTGATACAATTTCTATGACGAAGGCAAGGAAAACATAATATGGTGAATGTCTGTCTGCTTTATGACTAAAGAGGACAACAAAAAGGATAAGGAAATTATTTATGCTGCAACAGATTGAATAATTCAGTTGGTATGCGAGGGGTTAAAATACATAGCCAAAAACATCCAACATGCTAAACAGAACGCTATCGTAGGTCACTGTAGTAAGACTGTATATCACGACAGCTTAACTGGTACTGGCATTATCTCTTTTCATGCTAATGAGTGCTATATTCAGTACGTGTGCAATACCCAGATGCACATTTGTGTATCTGATGCTGTGTCTCCTTGGAAACTCAATTTTCTATTTTCATTCATTTTTTGTTGCTGAAAGTTCCAATAATAACGTTCTGCTTTAGTGTATTTACGTGTATTATCTTTAAGTGTATGTGCTGTCTTAATGAGTGAATGTTCCCACTGTGGGATCAAGAAATTCTATTCTATTCTATTCTATTCTATATCCTGACAAATATGTCAAAATTAAAGCCCTATAATTCCTTAAAGAATTAATAATCACCTCATGTCCTGCCAGAGTTCTAAAATCATCAAATGATGGATTTGTGGTCAATTCACTCAAATGTTGAACATATTTTTATGCTCTCATGCAAGACTTCAGGATATTGGACGATCTGTTAGCACTTTAAGCACCGTTTAAGTATTCTTGCTGAATACAAATGAGACAATAACAAAAGCAGAATAAAAACACAAAACCACATTTAGAATTTTATGCATTTAGGCTGATTGTTTTTGTTTTTATCTATATTATCCAGCCTGTAGGATTCTCCAGTGAGAATCTCTCCACAGTGCTGCTTTTACCTGGATTTCAGCAATCACCATCTAAAGTTTTTGAGTCTAAACAAACAGATTCGCACATGGATTCACAAAACACCTCTGCTACAACACATTTACAAACACACTCCACACAAAAACTCATGCCGTCTGTTTGCAGGCATGTGGGAGTGTGTTGGGTGCACCTGGCTGCTGGCTGAGCTGAACTCCTATCCTGAAGCCAACACTGCTGCAGATACAAGGACTTCAGTGTTATGAGTCATGCAAATCAGATAATGTCGGTTGAGTTTTATGTATGTGGTTCTATTTGTGTTAGGTGGAGCATCATCAAAATGCACAAGTAAAAGTTGGGAGGAGCCAACTAAGACATGGTTCCTGTTTCTGAAGCATGGAAACAATTGTATCGTCTATAGACTTGTGTCAGCATAAAGGATCAAAGGTAGGTTAAACATTTATTTAACAAGCAACTTGAAAGGAACAACTGATATCCCTTGACTTGACTTCCTCTAAAGAGTTGTGTCATCATGCACTCAGAGATAATAAGCCCCCTCCTCACTATTAACTCTCTCTTGACCCTCTAATTTCAGTTATTAATGCTTCAACCAGAGCAGCTAAACCAGGACACCCAGTGGGCCCACAAGTGAGACGTGAGAGGGACAGGAAATGAAGTGAATGGGTTCAGCAGGAGACATTACAAGTTACTTTGCAGTTAAAAAAAAAGCTAATTCCTGGTGAGACTGGAGTCATGGCCTTTAGGAGTGAAGAGAGATAAGCTAACAGCACCAAGACAGGAGAGCATGAACAAGTGTGTGACAATGAGGAGAAAGTGTATCAAGAAGGTTGGAGAGGTGGAGAAGTGAGAAAAAAAATCACCAGTCGAAGTGACAAATGTGGTGCTGCAGTGATTTTAAAGTTGTTAGTGGAAAAAAGTACTGACTCAGTTCTAACAGGGCCGAACTCACTGTGTCCATTAAAGCTTGTTTACTTCAATCAAGGAGAAATATGGAATTTGTGATAAACCTGTAATAAATCTTTCATACACATATTTTTAGATTATTAAAAAAACACTAAAATAGCCAAAGTAGAAAAATTACATTTTAGAAAAACTGTTAGTGCTGGTTGTTTCAGAGCAGTACAACAATCATATTATTATATTGTGTAAAAATGAGACATGATGATGTAAGTAGGTTTTAGGCTTGGCAGTCCAATCTGGAAACTAAAGTATTGAATGCTCTGGTGGACTGAAACATTGTGTTTGCTGTATGTAGCGTTAACTAGCTACACCGAAGCTTATAGACAGACACACCACACAGCTTCTGCTTCACATGACACTTTATTTATCCCTGTCAGGGAATCACATAGTCGTCACGCTCCTCGGCAGACTCTGAGCCACACATGCTTTTCACGTCTGCTCCATCTCTCTTCCTTCTCCTGCAGCGCCGGCCCTTGTAGTTAGCCTCGGGCTGATTGGCACCTGGTGCACTGCGTCGGATTCCTTAAAGACCCTCCCCTCCTGCGCACCGCCACACTCCTCCACCGCTTGCTCCAGGCTGGGGTCATCTCCGGTCTAGCCGACTCCCCTTCCCCAGAGCCGGGAAAGTAGTCGCTACTGACCAAGTGAGCCCCCCAGTGCTGGTAGGGTCCAAACCGCAGTGTGGGGGCAGTCTCACCAACCATGCCCAATCTTGCCACTCTTCCAGCACCGAAGGGGTGGGTCCATGCCCAGAGTCCTGCTGTCATGCTGCACCATCATCCCTTCGGGTCCCTCTTCAGCACCGAGAGGTTGAAATCGGCACCAGGGTTGGCCACACTGGTGTCTTATTGCATGCTTGGGCCGCCAGGTGATCCTTGGCCAGTGTCACCACAGCCTTCACGTCTGTGGGGACATGGCACCGGATCCACTCCCTGCTGGTCAGCATCGCCCTCCACGAACTGCTCCAGAACCAGCGCATTCAGCATGTACCGCTCACCTGCTGACTGCCCATGGTGGAGCCATCGACACGCTGTATCCCGGAGCATCGCAGAGCTGCTGTGCAAACGCAAATGGTAGGCCCTGTGTCCCCAGTCTGGCCTCTCGGAATCAACGATAGTCTTCCCCCACCAATCTGGTCCGCCAACAGCTGCAGGATTACCGTCTGCCGCTCCGCCTGATGGTGCTGTCCCTCCATCTGATGTCTACAGCATTCCACCGACTCTCGGCTATGCCGAGCCATCTCTGCTAACATCTGAGCCAGCACCGCAACTGGCGGCGTGGATCATGTTCTGGCTGGTGCATCGTCACGGGCGGCTGTCACAGACTCTGAGTCTCCTCACAGGATCCTCACGTCTGCTCAATCTCTCTTCCTTCTCCTGTAGCATTGGCCCTTGTTGTCAGCCTGGGATCTGCTTAGCAACGGGCTCCCAACAGGCCCTCCCCTCCTGCGCACCGCCACACTGTACTATTGAGTAAATTTATTAAAATGCAAGATATTTTGAATACTTTTCTTTTGAATTGTCCAAGTTTAACTGAAGGTGTGAAACACTGAAATACATATTTTTATATTTATTCCTGATTATAATTGGACATTTCATGCAGGCTGAACATGAAAATAGTCTCCTACTTATCTTCGGCTTTAGCGTCTGATAGAAAATAGACAGAAAAGTGCTTGGTTTAGAAAAGCCTAACAGATCTATGTTACACTGTCAATTAGCATACATGGACTCACCCATATTGACTTACGACAGGGAAGGCTGTTGTTGTTTTGGTGTCTAGGAAGCAGCAGAGAACGTCTCGGCTAGTAGAAGCTAACCATTAGCGTTAGCTACTCCACCACACAGTAGAACATCTACAGGCTTGTGTTATTTGTGGAGATAAAACATCAACGTTGTAGAGCACAATGAGTCAGTGTCAAAGTTGCATTTCTGTTAGCCAATGAGATGTGAGATGTCGCATTATCAGGAAAAAAGACACCAGATCTTTTCGTCTGAAGCTCAACTCTGTTGTGGCTCACTTCTACTTCCTGAAACTGGTGCACCAAAGCTTTGTTTCCCCAGAATCTGACTTACAAGGCATTCATTCCTATTAGAGACCCCTGCAAATGTACTGATTAAACAAGTGATCTACGCCTTTAATTTACCATTTAATAAGAAACTTGTTGATGTGTCAACAATATGAAAACCATCAACAGAATTAAAGAAATAGAAAGAAAATAAATTCATTTCTGTAAAAAAATATAAAAAAAAGATTTTTATTGTGACCTAGAGGTAACTGAAATAGAGGTGGAGCTGTTTGGGCAGTCAGTTTGTATTATGATAGTAATGTGAAATCCTCTTGTGATAACTACTGAAATCAATAAATAAATGGAGTTTTTTTCTACAGATAACCTTGCTCCGAAGTATTAGTTTCTCTCCCAAAACTAATTTATTTGTTTTCTCAATTCCATATTTGATGATTACAAATATTTGTTCTAAAATGGGTTACTGCTTTAGGGACATGCCCACAAATATACATCTTCTGTTTCTCAAAAAATGTCCAGTTGAGCCAATCACGGGCCCAAAACACAAAGAGCTACGTTGCAAGATGGAAGTCCAGCATAAAGAATCTAATGTTGTCACAGCCAGCTTCATCCCTAACATACAAAATGTTTCCTACCATAGTGGTAGAAACGTCATGGCTGGTAGCGAGTCCTATCAATAGCAGAATTCAACAGTCTGAACGGCAGATGTTAAGAAAAACTGCTCAAATGCGAAAGGACTGATTAGGAAATTAAATTTATATTTAACGTCATCACATTTCAGGAATGACATTATAAGGTGCTTCTGACCAACAGCTACAACAAGGGAAACCCAGAAAATAATTCCCCTTCCAGATTAGAGCCATTGTTCTGCACATTCCAGTGTGCATGACTTACCAAAGAGCCGGCGGTGGAATATAAACTTCCCAGCTACTAGGCCAGTAATAATAGCAAGTGTCCAGCATATTACTTTCAGGATATTCCAGCCGAGGCCCGGGTACTTGTTGAACAGGAAGGAGAAGCAGTTGCCCACCACGATGATGTGGGCTTCCGTCTGACTGTGGGAGACAGGGTCCTCGGCAAAGATGAGGAAGTTGAAGAAGGTGACGAGGTAGGCCACAATCAGACGTGACCACGGGTGCTGGAAGTAGTAGCGAAAACAGTTATCTATTTCCATCATGTTGAGCACTCCCGCCCCTCAGCACCGCAACACCTAAAAACCACAGAGAGAGAGAGAAAGTGTATCTTTCAGTCAGATTAAATTACAATCAAATCAGAAGGCTGGATTAAAGAGAAAGCCTCCCTCGGGTTCAGATTAGGTATCTGACCATCAGTCAGAGTGTGTGGAAAAAGATTCCTCTCACTTCAAGCTAATCAGTTTATAAAGAACACTGAAAACAAAATGTGCTTTTTTGTCTTGACTATCTACAATCATGGCACCAGCACAGAAATCAACACAAAATGTTCAAAGATAAACCTTCAATGTGAGTCACTGAAAGGAGTTTTTACCTGAGGATGGAAAAATCCAAAGAGCTATAATGTATGTCGTAGGCTTTTAAAGGCTTATCCTGTCAGATCTGTGTTCTCGTAAAATACAATTACCGTAAAGCTATTAGGTAAGGCCTGTCAAGCATCGCTTCAAAAGCCCTTCTGCCAATTCCCCTCATATTTCAGAATTTAACCCCTATCCTTCCTTATGCTCCAGTCTGTATTTCTCCATAGCTGTCTTGCTGTAGCCTGGACTTCCTAAACAAGCTCACTGCTTTGACATATTTTCCTAAAATACCCCACAGCGGAAATGTGGAATGAGGTAACGGCTCTGGAAATAGCACTGTCACAGAAGAACACCCGGGTAGATATTGAATTACACCTGCACCGAGGTTGTCTTGTCATTAAACGCCACCTTGGGTGATACTATGTCTACTAATTTGGAAATGTTGCCTCCTAGCCAATGACTAGAACCAAAATAATGTCCATTGCATCAGGACTCGAGAACACCCAGTCTCAGGTAGTAAATGGCCTGCATTTTTTTAGTGCCTTCTTAGGGTTCTACAAACCCCCCAAGGCACTTCACAACAAAATCATCCACACATTCACACACTGTGGGGATGAGCTACAATGTAGCTGCAGCTGCCCTAGGGCGCACTGACACAGGCGAGGCCTGCCGAACACTGGTGGCACCGGTCCCTCCGACCACCACTAGTAGGCAAGGCGGGTTAAGTGTCTTGCCCAAGGACACAACAGCAGCATTCTCTGATCAGAGCCAGGATTGAACCTGCAACATTCTGATTACTGGACAACCCGCTCTACCTCCTGAGCTACTGCTGCCCTAGGTATAGAGTAAAATCTAGTTCTATAGAAATATGTATGATGGTATTTATTATCTATTGTTGTGACTGTGTTATTATTATTATTATTATTATTATTATTATTATTATTAATAATTTTCTTCTTTCTTATTCTGTAAGTCTATGTCCTGCCTTGAGGAGTGAGTATATGTGGGAATAATAAAATCTATTCTATTCTATTCTATTCTATTCTATTCTATTATAATCTCTGACCTTAGAAATTGAATTTGGCTTGCCAAAAGCTTCTAAGTGCAGCAGGCAACACTGCACACTAGACGGATCACCTACTTTCATCCAAATCTGGCAAATTCTGCTGAGAGATAAGTCCATTCATCTCCTGGGTAGACGCCAAATGCACTTCAAATGCCATCTAACCCACCCTCCATATCACGGATAACACTGCAGGCTTGCACTGATTTACAACTTAAATGTCAATGCACCCAGTGATGTGGGGCAACAGGAATTCTGGGAGTCGGTATTATTTGTTCATCCCATCATCAGCATCAACGCACCTGCTCCACGTCGTTTTCGCTTCAGTCGACAGCCAGAACTACGCGCCCTGCTCCGACGTAATTCTGCAGCCACATCCAGGCGATCATCCAAAGCAGGAGGCGCCACGATGGGCTTGTAGATCAGGGATTATCCATGCGACCTGTTGTCAGAGCACGACAGTCCCCTAAATCCCCTGTCATGTCCCCAGTACCCCCCTGCCGGACACGGACGGACCGGACTAGACCAGACGGCGACTCCACCTCGCGTCCTGACCCGGTGGAGCTGTCACTGAGGGACCAGAGGAAGCTGGTGGTGCTGCTGGAAACTGGATGGAGATGGTTGGGTCCACACAGCGCGCTCAGCATCATTTTAAAGCTAAATGATCCAACACGTTAACTCACTGGCGTCAAGTTAAAACCAACGAAGCTGTACTGTTTCCAGCTTTTCAAAATAAAGTCGACCTCTGGGTTAAAGAGCGATGAAATAAAAGATTTTAAAAGTGTGCATTAAAACCTAAGTCGTTTAAACAAAGTGTGCATTTTTATGGGACGTGTTATGGTCTAAAAACACTTTGAACGGTTTTCTATTGTGATATTAATAGGCTACACACTCTTTGAAAATATGTCTTATAAAAACAACATGTTGGGGTATTGGTTAGAGACATTACATTACTTAAAAATAGCCTAAATGTAAAATAATAATAATTATAAAAAATAAATAAAATAATAATAATAATAATAATAATAATAATAACATAGGAAAAACAATAAATTTACTGTTTATTTTTATTTAGTTGGGTGTCTTAAGATTTCTTTTTTTTTTTTCAAAATAATCGTTTTCTTGTAAAATTCTTTGAGCAAACATAAAAAAGTTATTGTGGCGCTATAAGTAGGTATAATTTATGCCCGTTTAGACATTTCATCATTATTTTTAACATTACTACTACTACTACTACTACTACTACTACTACTACTACTACTACTACTAATAATAATAATAATAATAATAATAATAATAATAATAATAATAATAACAACAAAAACAATAATATCTGCCCATCCATCCATTGTCTTCCACTCAGTTCAGGTTGCAAGGGCAGTAACCTAATAATTATTATCAGGCTATACATTAGTCTCAAAATATTATTACTAATCTTGGAATAAAAATGTTAGTCGGACAGTTTATGCATGATAACAACCTCACTGTACCTTGTACAGTGACAATAAAAACATTCATTCATTCATATCACATAGGCCTAGATAAACTATATTTTACAGGACTGGGATAATTACACAACATTATGTAAATGTCACGCTTGTATTATTAAAAATGTAAATGACATTATATATATATATATATATATATATATATATATATATATATATATATATATATATATATATATATATATATATATATATATATATGAATATATGAATGTGTTATAAAGTGTCAGAGCATTGAGTCCTGAGATCATAGATTGAAAAGTTGCATTAGGGCTAGGGTTAGTGTGTAGGACATATGTATATGGGAAATATCATATATAATATGATAATATGTTCATAGGAACATGATGGAAATATCATATATATACATATATATATGTATATATATGAATGTGTTATAAAGTGTCAGAGCATTGAGTCCTGAGATCATAGATTGAAAAGTTGCATTAGGGCTAGGGTTAGTGTGTAGGTCTACCTGCCCTTTCCTTTATGTCTTTACTGGTGGTTGATCTGCTTGATGCAGAGCTGAGATTCCTTCTGCTAATGATGGGATAACACAAAATGCATTCGTTTAAGAAGGATGAAGAGAAGGCACAAAGAGCCTGGACAGTAATCCACTGGCTGCCAGATGTGACCCAGTTTCATGCCAACTATGATTTGTTGTCATGAGGCTGAAATCTCTCAAAAAATAATGAAATAAAACTCTTAAATCATGATTAGCATAAAAACACTTTCGCCACGTATTTTATTTCATCTTGAAGGGAACGTGAGGTCACGGGTTTGGGGCGGGTCCGGTCGCTGTAGTCTACTTCCTGTTTCTCTTCTCCGGCTTCGCCAGATCAGCTGCTCCGGTCGTCTCAGTCCGAAAGACACTATGTCACATCAAACGGGCATTCAAGGTGCGCAACTATCGTTATGCTGCCAGTACTCGTGGTTTTATCGACTTTCCTGAATTAATGTGTATTTAACAGGATTACTTTTGAGCGCTTGCATCCAGAAGCTTGCGCTAAGTTAGCTAGCCTTTAGCGAGTTAGCTCCGTGCTACTGTGATTTTGCGCTAAATTAGCTAGCTTTTAGCAAGTTCGCTCCGTGCTACTGTGATTTTGCGCTAAGTTTAGCTAGCCTTTAACAAGTTAGCTCCGTGCTACTGTGATTTGTGTCAGCGCTCATGCTCAGTTTGGACCCTGTTGGACTGTTTGGACAGTTTTGTATATATGTCGATGGTTTGGACCCTTTGGGATGAATCTAAGCGTCTCTTTGCCGGTTTATGAGGCATTTCAGAAGCGGGCTTGTTTTTCAAAACCTTTTATTTGCTCTGTTTTAAATGTCACTTGTATTTAGAGTTTTTTTAACATCAAACTGGAGACCTGTAAAGCTAGTTTTAGTTCTGATGGATGGGCAACGCCTTCTTCTTTAACCAACCTGTCACACTGACAGGTTATTGACGGTGGCAATAACTTTTGTTATAATGTTACAAAACATTGTAAATCAGGCGCAGCCTTGTGCTGGTCTGTGTGCATTCACAAATGACTGTTTTTATTTACAAAATATGCAAATGAGAGGAAGTTAGTTTCAGGTCTTTAGGAAAGGAAATTAGTATTTTTAAGCCCTTCTTACCAACTCTAGAAGCTGTGAGTGAAATATTTGCTGCAGCAGCTCTTAAATACCCGTCCCTCTCCTATCCAAGAGCTGTGTTTGTTTAAAAACAATTTCAGACCATGTTTAATGTCTTTCTTTCTCAGCGGGTAATGATGTGAAGGAAATCTTTGCCATTGCCAAAACCGGAGACCGGTATCGAGCCCTTAAGATCGTCATTGAGGATGGTAAGCTTTGTTTACACCTCTGTCTGCCAAGAACCATTAAAACTTTGCATTTGCATAAACATTTGCAAAACTCCTGACATTAGAAATGCCTGCATGACAAATCTGTGCATCACTGACATTTTAGTTTGCACACATCTGGTTTCCAGAGCAGCTGGTTCTAGGCAGCACCAGGAAATCATCAAAGACGTGGGACCAGGAATATGATTCCTTAGTGCTGCCGCTGCTGGAGGATGGTTTACCCTGTTATATTCTGTACCGGCTGGACTCCATTAACAACCAGGGCTACGAATGGATCCTTCTGGCCTGGTCACCGGACCACTCTGCTGTAAGGAAACTTTGCCCAAAAAGGGCTTTAATGAATAGCTCTCCATCTTTTGTGGTGTTTTCACGTGGGTGAGGCCCACCACATCAAAGCAGCTAGTCTTTATGTGCTTTCATACCTTCTTAGCAAACTTTTGAAAACTTAAGATGGCTAAATCATACTTCCTAAATGATTCAGCACTTTGCTTCAAAGCTTCCTCCAGCACCACTCATTTTCTGCATTCAGATTAGAGATCCGGCCAAATACAGCGATTTAAAACTGTTTCTGGTTTTTTACGAAAACCTGGCTAAATAGTCACTGCCTGTTATTGTTTGGTTTCATTGAAACTTGACAAACAACTTGGAAGAGGCTTCCCCAGAGAAGGCCTGACAAATAAACAAAAGTGGTTTCTGTAGCAGTGAAAAGAGAAATGTAGCAGGAAGACACCAAAGATCAGAAGGATGTTCGTAGCTTTCAATCAGGTCAGAACTGAGCTAAGATTTCCATTCTGAGTCATACGACTCATCCTAACATTCCCACCCCCAGCTCAGAGCATTCTGCATCAGGTTCAGGCTTGTCTAGAAGTTGCTAAATAATTTCAGAACCAGTGTTTGCATGCATGCCGCTGCAACCTCAGCTGGACTGGCCTTTTTCCCACTTAAGATGATCCTATCTATGTCGAAGCCTTGGATCATAGAAATAATTAAGAAAATATTGGGAGCTCGTTGTTTTACTGCAGGAAAGAAGGCTGTTTAAAATCAATGAAGAGTCTGAATTGCTAACTTCAACGATGTTCTTGAGGATAGACGAGTACCTTAATGCGGTCAGTGCCTTTTAGTGGGACCAAGATCATTTCCTCACAGACTCCTCGCGTTTAGCCGTCAACCGCAGTGTGTTTGCATCTTATGCCACTGCTGAATGCTAAGGTACTCTATCAAAAACGGATCTACATGTGGACGTTTTTACTTGTTAAGATAATCAGAAGTGTTTGAAGAAGGCATTCTAAAGTTCTTTAGAATACGTCCGAATCGTTCAAAAGAGAGATTTAAGAAAATCTTGATACACTGATATATCGTGATATTTTGTTTTATGATACTGAATCCATTTTTAAAATCAGTCAATAGATTTTGTTTTAAAAGAAAATTTACATGCAAACAATTACTTTATTTTGTATGGTGCAATTCAAACTCTGACTGCTAGGGGGCAGCAGTATTTGCCACCTTCATTCTGACAGTATGTTCTCACCATAAGTCTGAATGTCTTGGAAGCTTCTGAACTGAATTTGCCAAAGTTTAAAGTTGTAAACATCATCTAGAATTCAGTATCGTGACCCATCATATCGTCTCTCCTTTATTGTGATCTATATCATGTTAAAATCTGTATCAGCAGGTCAAAACAGTAAAACAGGTGGAAATCATAACATCCCTTGTTTATATTAAAAACATTTATATATATATATATATATATATATATATATATATATATATATATATATATATATATAAGCTGTTTAGAGTCAACAAGACCACACGCTGGTCTTGGCTGCACTTGTTCTCGATGACATCTCACCAATCACCAGTCTTAAAAGCTGTACTATGCAATTTTTCATATAAAAAAATGTTCTTGAGCCAGTATGTGCTAAGACGACCCTTTACAGGTTAACAAAATGTCACTCAGACCCCCACAGCCCTCTGTGGCCAGAATACCGTACTTGCAACTTCAGAGTGCCGGTTCGGTCCCTGTTTGACTCGGTAAAGAAGATCTAACCTGCCTGTCGCTGCAGGCTGCTGCCAGCACGTTTTTAAAATCATGAACACAGCTAATGAAGGCTGAGGAGACATCTCAGCAGTTAGATTAATGTGTTAAAAAGACGACCGCACAGCGAGGAGTTCAGTTTCACTCTCACTTTTACGATAGTGAGTTAATAACAGACTCTAGTTGGTGCTAAAAGCAAGCTAAAACTTCTAAGTGTGCCTTTATGGAATTCAAATAATTCTCACAACAGACAACAATCAGGAAGGTATCGCACATAGAAACACTTCAAATAGTTAAAAAGGATTTCTTTATTCTTCTGTCAGAAACTATAATAAACACTAAATCAAACATTGGAAATAGAAAGAAATGTTGTCTTCAGCCACTTGTTTATATTCTATTTCTCTACAGGTGCGACATAAAATGCTATATGCTGCTACCAGAGCAACACTGAAGAAAGAGTTTGGAGGAGGCCACATCAAGGATGAGCTCTTCGGCACCACAAAGGTTTGTGACATAGCTGCATGTTAAGTGAAGTGGAATGTTTTCTTTTTAATCCTCAAAGTTCAGAAGTGTCGGTGTTTTTAGGACCAGGTCAGTCATGTTGTTGTTGATCTGCTTCATCTCCAGGAGGAGCTGAACCTCCATGGTTACAGGAAGCACCTGACCTCACAGGCGGCTCCTTTGCCCCTCACTGCTGCAGAGGAGGAACTGAGGCAGATCAAACTCAATGAGGTAATCACAGAGAAGCAATGCAGATTTCAGCCAGAACACCGCAAAGTAGCCGTACACACACACACGCGCACACACACGCACCCCACTGGCTGTGGTTTAGACTTGTGCTCTATTCTGCAACGGAGCAGCACTTCATCGTCTTTACGCTAAGATGGTAGAGGAGAAATGGCTTAGCTCAGCCTGCAGCTGCATTCCTTTTAATCACATCTCCAGTGTGTGAGATGGAAATCCCACCAGAACGCGGGCTGGGAGCCAGCGGCACACCCTCTCAATAGGACGAGGTCAGCAGCAGCGGCGCCTGCAGAGATGCTGATGTTTCGAAACAAGATGATGTCAGAGATGAATCCATCCGCTCCATACAGCTCACACCCGCGCATCTATAAAAAGGCCAATGGTAGATCTCGTTTTGTCTGATTTGGATGAAGCAAAGTTCTTTATGGTTTAAAACATAAATTACAATCACCAAATCTGCATGTAAATGTGGAAGCTGAGCGTTTAGGCAGTGATTGTGCACTGGGAACAGGTGCTTTGCCTTTGTTGTGATACGGAAGTGCAGCGCTGTAATGTGAAATCTCTTCCCCGCTTCTGTTGTTACCAAAACACTGCTGACATGAATGGTTTTCATGCAGCACCAAACACCACAGAAAGAAGGCTTCAGAAGCTTCACTCTCAGAAGTTAAGGGATAAGCCCAAGTAAAGCCCGTCTTCTCTGAGCAACAGTCATTTTCTAATTGCTGCCTTTTCCGTCTGCCACACAAACAGGAGCTTTTATACCATATAAAGTATCACTTTGAGCAGTGCGGTTAGCGTACGGCCACGTGAAAGCAGCACAGTGAAAAGGGAAGTGAACTTTCCGGCGGCTCCATTTGGCCAGCTGTTTAGAGAAGATAATTTACCGTTAATCTGTGCCTCGAAGATAAAAAACAAGTTTTGGATTATTTATTAAACGTCGTCCTTTGGAGGCTGCCTCCTTTTTAACTGAGCTGATGGATGAAAGAAACCTGCAGTCTCTTGGTGTGTGAGCCAGCTGTATCTGAGGCTCGTGTTTCTTTTTGTGGTAAACAGATGTCTAAAAATAGATCCAACATCGGTGTAATCCCCCCAGAATTTCCAGCTCTTCTGGTGATTTCCTGGACACGTCTCGTCACTTCAGATGCAAGCACCTCATCTGTAATCATCACACTTTGGCTTTCAGGCCAAACACCTCTGCTTTCAGGCGACCTCGTACCAACATGAATGATGTGTGACAGTAACACGACCTGGTTTTCTTTTGGTGTCTCTGTGGTGCGTTCAGGTCCAGACGGACATCAGTGTGGACACGAAGCAGCAGACTCTGCAGGGAGTGGCCTTCCCCATCAACAAAGCAGCTGCTGAGGCTCTTGTACATTTTAGGGACAAGAAAATCAACTATGTACAACTGGTGAGTTCTAGGAAAGTGGATCTGAATGTGACTGCTGGACTTTAAAGGAAACAATATTATCCTGTTGGAGAGATTGTGGGTGAGCCATTTTGTAGATGGACACAAATAGGGCTGCACAATATATCGTAAATATATCGTTATCGCGATATCAGCATGCACAATATGCATATCGCAAAGAACAGATAAATATCGCTCAAATGTTTGCACACATGATGCATTCTGTCAATCAAACGAAGTATCATGTTTTTTTTTTTTTTTTTCCCAACAAATCAAATAGAGCTCTTCACCCATTTGGCCAATCGAATGGGTTCTCGTAGGTCAGAGTCCCGCCCCCGAGGCAGACGGCACTTCATTTAGATGGTTAGCAAACACCTGAGCTAGCTTAGTTCTGCTCTTTTTGCTGATTCTGCTTTTCCCGGGATCCACTGATTGCCTTTTCTTTTTCTTTTTCCTTTTCCACACATCTTTAGCTTTTCTTACTTTTATGATTTATTTTTAATTTCTTTGTTTTTGATTAATTTTGTTCCTGAGTTAAGTGTTTATTTACCGCAAGTAATATCGTCATAGCAATATTAATCATTGTTATCGAATATTGCAGGTTTTCCTAATATCGTGCAGCCCTAGACACAAAGCATTAGACATTTTACCCCCAAAAGCCTTTGTTTCTTTGTCCTCATTAAAATTCAGAGTGGAGAGCTCATGGCACCAGATTAGATCAGTGCAAAGGAATAATAGAGGCTTTGTTTTCTGGTAAAACAACTTGGTTTCTATACAATAAGAGATCTTGTCCCGACGATAAAAACAAAAGTTTGTTTACTATTCTAACATGGTTACCTTACTGGTGTAGCTTCTCGGTCATCCAGGACATTTGAATCCTCACAAGATGAATCTGACGTAATGGAGTATAAAAAAGTCCAGTAAATGACTGTTTTAGGTTCATCTTCCTGTTTTTTATTTGTTCCGGACTCTTTACTATCAGCAGTAGCTCAGGAGGTAGAGCGGGTTGTCTGATAATCAGACGGTTGTAGGATCGATCCCAGCTCCCAGAAGAGAATTCTGCTGATGTGTCCTTGGGCAGGACTCTTAACCCGGCTTACCTGCTGGTGGTGGTCGGAGGGGCCGGTGGCTCCTGTGTCCTGTCAGTGAGCCCCAGGGCAGCTGTGGCTACAGTGTAGCTCATCACCATCAGTGTGTGAATGGATGAATGACACACTGTAGTGTAAAGCGCTTTGGAGTCCTCTGACTGAAGGGCGCTAACCAAGTGCGGGTTTATTTTTATTTATATTTATCATTGTCTTCGATGCCCGGACCTAGCTGAGATGCTGAAGTCCACTCAGTGCTGTTGTTGGGGACGGAATAGAATGAGAGGGGTGAAGAATGTGGATTCATCACAATTTCTAGCTACATCTTTGGGATATTATGAAGCTTTATTTCTGTTAGCATTTTTTGTTGTTTAAAAATGCTGATTAAGAACCTTTTAGAATGCCATGTTATAGTTCTACAGAATCTGATCATGCAGAGGAACCTTGGACCTTTAGGTCATTAATTATTAACTCTTACTAATGCATATCCTTGCATAGGGTGGAGACAGTAGTCACGTTTTGCCTGCGTTGAGAATTCTGCTTCCTGTCAACAGAAAATAGAAGATGAGGTGATCTGCTTGTGCAGCACTGAGCCGACAGAGCTGAGAGATCTGCCAAAGAGAATCCCCAAAGATTCTCCCCGTTACCACTTCTTCCTGTACAAACACTCCCATGAAGGGGACTACCTGGAGTCCACAGGTGAGGGTCACTACGTGTGACTTATGATGAAAAGCTCGTTTGATGTTGTCAAAGGCACATCTGCTCATCTGGGTTGTTGGTTTATGCTTCTGTTGTAGTCTTCATTTATTCTATGCCCGGGTACAAGTGCAGCATCCGAGAGAGGATGCTGTACTCCAGCTGCAAAAATAACCTCATCGACATGGTGGAGGACAAACTCAAGCTTGAAGTTGAGAAAAAGGTGAGAAATAAAGATGATATAACAGCACAAAGGTTAAGTGTGACGCAGAGGTGATGTTTATGTTTTATAGTGGACGTTGTTGGGAACTCATTTACCAAATCAGATGTTTTATTTACTGTATATAGCTTGATACTAAAGAATTTTTGAATTATTTTAGCAAATAGATTCATGAGGTGAGTGTTAAACTACAATCAGTGGTACAATCAGTGGTTAAGTCATGAGTTGTTTCAGGACCTTCTGATGTGAGTTTCTAGGTAAACGTTTTAAATCCTTACCCACTAACATGGAGTTTACATTTTTCAGGACTTTTGAGCTAACTGCTAGTCCAGAAGAGCCCAGTGTCTTTAATCAGCTGCTGTCTCCTAAATTTCAAAGCGTTATTAACTTCATTATAGAAAAAATAAGTCTCTCTCACTATCAGAACTTCCAGGTAACTTCACCAGACCTGTGTGGTTTGTGGGTGTCTTCATTACACCAGGCTTGGCCCAAAAGGAGCATTTTCTGGTGTAGCTGAACAGGAATATGTACTGGGAAAAGCTGGACTGGGCAGGACCGGTGGTTGGCTCACGCTGATTGGTTGTAACTTTGTAGGAAAGGACATCGACAGGCGTCAAACAATCAGCATTTGTTAAACTGGAACTTTGGACGAGTTTGTGAATCAGAATGGAAGGAAAAGAAAATAAGCAGCATTGATGCAGCTTTAACTCATCAGTATCTAAACTCCCAACACCAAAAACGCGACAGAAATCTCTCCACAACACTGTAATTCGCTGTGCTTTGTTGTTTCACCAAGCGGTGTGAAAAACTGCACTTTTTCTGGCCATTGAACATCACACATACGCTCTCCCCATCCCCCTCGATGGATGAAATTGTAGTTTACTTTGCTAGAATAAAACTTTTAATGTTATAAGTACTTGTGGCCTTTTGGTGCTGATCACCAACATCACTCAACATGGAAACGGTGGAAATATGCTGATGTCTTATCAAAGTCCTGAAGGAGCGATTTTGTATGAAGACACAATGGCTGAGAGGGCCAAGACAGAGAATTTTCCCTCTCACCTTCCTTCTCCCAGAAATTTCCCAGAACATCTTTAGTGGAAGCCGAAGTGCAGTTCTTCACACCACCATCTGTTCCACATGACACTGTCATTAACATGGAACTCTAGTATTTCAATTCAATTCAATTTTATTTATATAGCGCCAAATCACGACAAGAGTCGTCTCAAGGCACTTCACATAATAAACATTCCAATTCAGGTCAGTTCATTAAGCCACTCAGAAATAATGTTTCCTGTATAAGGAACCCAGCAAATTGCTTTACAGCAATCGTCATACTAAGCAAGCATATAGCGACAGTGGAGAGGAAAACTCCCTTTTAACAGGAAGAAACCTCCAGAGGTTCCTGGATCAGTATAAGCAGCCATCCACCACGACTCACTGGTGATGGAGAAGACAGAGCAGACACACACACACACACACACACACACACACACACACACACACACACACACACACACACACACACACACACACACACACACACACCCCAAGCAATGTGTCCATGGTTACACCGTGATTGCTTAGTAAATATTATATATGGCGAGAGATAAACCTTATTGTATTTATCATAATGAATCTATTGTTAAACGGGTAAACTAGTAGTAGCACATCCATCGTCAAGGAAACAAAAAGTTATTATGAGGAGAGGGAGAAAGTTTAAGTGGTTAGCAGCAGTGTGCTAGCAGCTAGACGATGGCCTCCTCCATGAGGCCACCACAGCTCAGCAGAACATCACCGTAGCTTCCTCTGGGGAGAAAAACACTTAGAGAAAAAATAAAGTTAATAGCTGAAGTAGCAGAAAATGATACAGTTAAAGAGCAGATTGTAGAAGAAAGCAGTAGAGTGTGAAAAGTGGTCAGTGTATCCTCCAGCAGTCTAAGCCTATAGCAGCACAACTACAGAGATAACTCTGGATAACCTAGCCTTTTTAGATGGAGGCATGTTGGAGGCAGGGCAAGGGAGAGCCGTCTTTACCAACTGGACACTCCACCTCCCTCTACTCCCACACTTGTCCAGATCTAGGCTAACATCAGAGTTTAACCATAGGCCCTATCAAATAAAAATGTTTTGAGCCTATTCTTAAAAGTAGACAAGGTGTCTGCCTCATGGACTAAGACTGGGAGCTGATTCCACAGGAGAGGAGACTGATAACTAAAAGATCTGCCTCCCATCCTAATTTTAGATATTCTGGGAACCACCAGTAAACCTGCAGTCTGGGAGTGAAGTGCTTGGTTAGGAACGTATGGAACAATCAGATCACTGATGTATGATGGAGCTTGATTATTAAGAGCTTTATATGTGAGAAAAAGGATCTTAAAATCTATTCTGAATTTAACAGGTAGCCAATGTAGGGAAGCCAAGGCAGGAGAGATATGATCTCTCTTTTTAATTCTCATCAGAACTCTAGCTGCAGCATTTTGGACAAGCTGAAGACTTTTAACTACATTCTGTGGACTTCCTGAGCGTAAAGAATTACAGTAATCCAGTCTTGATGTAATAAATGCATGAACTAGTTTTTCAGCATCCCTCCTGAAAAGGATGATTCTAATCTTAGCAATATTCCGAAGGTGGAAAAAGGAAATCCTACAAACCTGATTAACCTGGGATTTGAATGGCATGTCCTGGTCAAAAATAACACCAAGGTTCCTTACTTTGTTCTCGGAGACTAATTTAATGTCATTCAGGTCAGGTGATTGACTAAGCAATTTCCTTTTCTGGATTTCTGGTCCAAAGATGAGAACTTCCGTCTTGTCTTGATTTAAAAGCAAAAAGTTTAGTCATCCAATTTTTTATGTCCTCAAGACAAGCCTGTAATCTACCCAACCGATTAGGTTCATCAGGGTTAATGGATAGATATAACTGAGTATCGTCAGCATAACAGTAGAAATTTATCCCATGCTGTCTAATGATTTTACCAATTGGGAGCATATATATATAGTAAAAGGAATTGGTCCAAGCACTGAACTCTGTGGTACTCCACAAGTAACCCTGGAGTATGAAGATTTGTCATGTACATTTACAAAATGACATCTATCAGACAGGTAGGATTTAAACCAGCATAGCGCTGTTCCTTTGATCCCTACAACATGTTCAAGTCTTTCTAAAAGAACATTGTGATCTACTGTGTCAAAAGCAGCACTGAGATCTAACAAGACTAGAACAGACACAAGATTCTTATCTGAGGCCATGAGAATATCATTTGTAACTCTCACTAATGCAGTTTCAGTGCTATGATACTCTCTAAAGCCAGACTGAAATTCCTCAAACAGAGCATTAGTGTTTAAATGCTGACATACTTGGATGGCCAATATTTTCTCCAGGACTTTGGATAAAAATGGAAGGTTAGATATTGGTCTATAATTCATTGGGTTATCTGGATCCAGAGAAGGCTTCTTAAGTAAAGGTTTGATTACAGCAACTTAAAATCCTGTGGTACGTATCCATTTACTAAGGATAGATTGATTATATCTAGAATGGGGGCAGTAACCAAAGGAAATGCTTCTTTAAATAATTTGGTTGGGATTGGATCCAAAGTGCAAGTGGAAGGTTTAGATGAAGCTAATATTTTTGATAAATCTGAAAGCTCAACTGGATCAAAACGGTTCAAACGCAGATGAGGTTCTACAGTTACCTCTGATGCTGCCTCACTTACTGAGGAAGAAGAAATCGCATTAGGGCATTTAAAGGCATTAATAATGAAACAACACTTTTGGTGCATCCATCTGCTGTTGGAACCATTCTGATAATTAGCTAGACAATGTCCTCGCGGCATTGCCTGTGATAGTACGCAAGATGGATTTGATCTCGGAGAGGGTCGCCGGACGATGCGGGGATGTTTAGAATGTAAAATTGGCTTCACTGGTGGACATGAATGACCACTCAGAGACTCCAAGGCGGAGAGGAAAATTATCTCTGCCTGCCCTAAACAAAGTCATGTTTATCCTTATCTGACGCCATAGCAGCCTCTAAAGGCTCCCTCAACACACCCCCACGAAAGGAGGAATGCCGACAGATGCTGTGTCCCGACCTTCACCCTCTTCCTTCAGATTGAGACGTCTGTGGGAAACTTCAGTGTGCTCTCTGGTCCTTATTTCTCCCTCCCACCTGTTGGTCTGCAGCTGGTCGATGCGCCGCAGTGGCAGCTCCCATTGGAGGCTTCAGGATCCCGCCCATCCCCGCCTCCCCATCGGACTCTGATGTTGTATCTGTGCTGTTTGTGCTTCCATGTTTAAAGGAGTTTTTTTTTTTTTTTGTATAATAGAGTTACTCCCCGCTGGGGCTAACTCTGCTATGCCTTTTTTTTTACCTACCCTCACTTATCCTCATGTAACACCCTTTTCATCTATCTATTAAGGTAGCGCGACTCATGTTGCGAATGACCGCAGTCACCAATTCTTGTCATGTGTCTTACCCACGTATGTCTGATCTTTGAATTGTGTGTGCTGAAACTCAATTTCGTTTCTCCGTATGTCCTGCACATGTGGTAGAAATGACAATAAATGACTTTGACTTGAATTACTGCCATTTAAAAAATGGCAGTAATCTACAGATTTTAGTATTAAACTTTCACACTTATTCATTTTCATATGAAATGCTATTTAGCAGACATATGAAGACAATCCTGGTGGATTTCTGGGAAAATTCCCTTCATTTGGTGTTATTTATGTTTAGAATAAACCACAGACACCCCTCTAAACAGGAATGTGGAGTTGTGGGAAGGGTTTTAAACATTTGCATCAGCAGTTTAGTTTTGGGGGATGTTTTATGAATGGCAGCGACATACTTGTCACCATCAACAACTCTTGATGCCATCTACTCTATTTTTTCTATTTTGCAGCTGGAAATAGAAAATGGGGACGAGCTGACAGGTGACTTCATGTATGAGGAGGTGCATCCCAAACAGCATGCACATAAGCAGGCGTTTTCCAAGCCCAAAGGCCCCGCCGGGAAGAGGGGTGGCCGCCGAATCACACAGCCCCCCAGAGAAGGAGAAGAAGATTAAACCAACCTCACCACCTGAGCACCACCTTCAACGCGTTCCACAGTGGAACATTCCTGCAATGGGAGGGAAAATCACACATTTGACTAGTTTTCCAAAATTTTCAATCTCAAATTTCCACAAAGTTCCCCAAAAGACCCAGCTATGCACGCCCTGAACAACTGAGCAACATACTTCAGATTCTCTGCTTGTAGCTCACCAAACGGGAGCGTGTCCATACTTCCACACAAGCTGAACACTGGTTTAAAGGAGGCCCAAAGTCGAGGTTGAGGTTTTTATTTTGTTGCCAGATCTGACACCTTAAAAATGCTAGTGCGACGCTGCACCAATAAGATGAAATCCCTAAAGAATCATTCCTTGAGTTAACTTTTTTGTCTTGTGTTAAACGTCTCCTACTGTTTGCACGACGAGGTGCTCCCACGTAGAAAAGATCCTAAAATGTCCCACTTGTGTCTATTTTGTTCATTTTAACTGTGCTTTTTTAAATGGAAAATTAATTCTCTTTTGATATAACTGTGGTTTACATGAGAAAAAAAATCATCTGCTGAGAAACTTATTTTTCTATGCAAGTGCTGTAAGTGTACATAATGTAGCGGCGTGACGCTCCGAGACCGTCGGTGAGAAGGAACGGGCTTCCAACAATATCCCATCTACGTCTGAGACTCCACCGAAGAGGAAGCTCCTGAAACCGGGTCCTGTGGAGAACGGCTGGCCGAGCTGCCGGATAGGAAAGGGAAAACTAACTACATTCACTGATTGTTGCCACATCCACTCATCTACTGATTAATATTAGGCAAACTACCAAGTTCACCTCACGTGAAGGGAATGTCCCTTTATATTCATTCAGTCATTATTGGAGAAAAAAAAACATCTTTTCTTACAAATCTTTTAAAGAATAAATAAAACAATATTTAAATCAGATGGTGTCATTCTGTTTATTACAGCAACAATATTGATCTAAAACAACTTTCAGGGTTATTTAAGCTCTGTGCTTTATAAAAACACATCAGGAAGAAATGATATTCTATAACAAGCTTGTGCAGATGAACCGTTTCCTCTGGGTTAGTTTTATTTCTGAGCATCCAGAGAAACATTCTTGACAACGCTGCGGATCTCTGACACAACCTGTGGAGACAGTTGAAACTACTGAAAACAGGCAAAAATACTGTAAAGATGTTTACATATTAAGAATCCTTCAATTCAATTCAAGTTTATTTATATAGCGCCAAATCACGACGAGCCGTCTCAAGGCACTTCACATAATAAAAATTCCAATTCAGGTCAGTTCATTAAGCCAATCAGAAATAATGTTTCCTATATAAGGAACCCAGCAAATTGCATCAAGTCACTGACTGGTGTCAGTGACTATACAGCAATCCTCATACTAAGCAAGCATAAAGCGACAGTGGAGAGGAAAACTCCCTTTTAACAGGAAGAAACCTCCAGAGAATCCTGGCTCAGAATAAGCAGCCATCCACCATGACTCACTGGGGATCGAGAAGACAGAGCAGACAGACACACACACACACACACACACACACACACACACACACACACACACACACACACACAAGTAATGTGTCTACAGTTATATTGTGATGTCTTAGTAAATATTCTATTTGGTGAAAGATAAACTTTATTGTATTTATCCTAGTGGATCTATAATTAAACGGATAAACTAGAATTAGCACATCAAAAGTCAAGGAAACCAAAAAGTTATTATCAGGAGAGAGAGAATGTTTAAGTGGTTAGCAGCAGTGTGCTAGTCGATGCCCCCCCCCCCCTCCATGAGGCCCTATCAAATAAAAATGTTTTAAGCCTATTCTTAAAAGTAGACAAAGTGTCTGCCTCACGGACTAAAGCTGGGAGCTGGTTCCACAGGAGAGGAGCCTGATAACTAAAAGATCTGCCTCCCATCCTAATTTTAGATATTCCTGGAACCACCAGTAGACCTGCAGTCTGAGAGCGAAGTGCTCGATTACGAACGTATAGAACAATCAGATCACTGATGTATGATGGAGCTTGATTATTAAGAGCTTTATATGTGAGAAGAAGGATCTTAAAATCTATTCTGAATTTAACAGGTAGCCAATGTAGGGAAGCTAAGACAGGAGAGATATGATCTCTCTTTTTAATTCTCATCAGAACTCTAGCTGCAGCATTTTGGACAAGCTGAAGACTTTTAACTACATTCTGTGGACTTCCTGAGAGTAATGAATTACAGTAATCCAGTCTTGATGTGATAAATGCATGAACTAGTTTTTCAGCATCCCTCCTGGAAAGGATGCATCTAATCTTAGCAATATTCCGAAGGTGGAAAAAGGAAATCCTACAAACTTGTGAAACCTGGGATTTGAATCACATGTCCTTGAAAAGTTACTCTGATTTCATTATTTTTATTAATATTTTATTTGGCTGAATGCCTTTTATTTAGATTCCCCTCCCAGTTTTGATCTCTTTGTAAAAAGATTCAACAGTGAATATGGAAGAATAGGAGTTCCCAGACTGGAATGTTGCAGTTTTAGCGACACCTAGTGGTGTGTAGGGTCAGGTGCACCATTATCTGTAAAAGCTTCAGTGAAGATTGATAAATGAACCCAAAACTTCAGCTACAAAGGTTTCAAACAAGTATATAAGACTTGTTTTCTGTTTTATGAGTTAAAACCAGCTGGTAAAAGAAATATTAAATTACTATGAACCTTTTCACTTATTCAGTTAAATACGGGTTCATTAAAACTGTATTTTGTCTCTGAATGTACCACAGCTGTGTCTCGTGCCTCACTACCTGTTTGATGACCGGCCGTCTGTTCTTTCGGTCATGTAAGCAGTTCGAAGCCAAACAGTAGATGGTCTCCACCTGGCTCAGCTCCCAGTCGCTCATCTTCTTATCCACAAAATCCTCCAGAGTCAGCTCTTCATCTTCATCATCGATGTCGTACCTGATCTCCATCTGAGGGGAGAGAGAAAATGGGAACATGGGTTTGATTTGACTCCACCCAGTCCTGACGTCTTAGGTCTGAGCTGTAGTCACAGAGTCAAGCCCGACAGAGAAAGCCTCTTTTGTGCAGCTTACCAGCAGCTGAGGCTCCTTGTTCTCATTGGCCGGAGCGAGTCCAGATAATATTTCTAACAGCACCTGTAGATGGCAGAGAGACGGGGGTAATTACAGCACTCAGGGCAACAGGAAACATTTATTATAACTAAATGGGTCGCATCCCTGCAGCTGAACGGATGAGAGGAGCATTAAATAGAATTTCAGGTGAACATTGTTTCCATATAAAAACGAAACAGAATGACAGGAACTGCTAACCTGTGGTTACAACATCCTGTGACCGCTACCACATTAATTCATATGCAACCTGTTGGTAATTAACTAGTCGTTAATCCATCCACCTTTACTCTTACCACCTATTCAGCAGCCTCGGCTCCTTCAGTTTACACGGTCCTCACACCTTCACATACATGTAGAGAACATGCTCTAAATGTCATGGTCTGCGTCTGCCCCTTTCTTCATGTGCCTCCTGCTGTCCTCCATCCCTCTCTAGATTCCCTTTTGTGTCTCTTAGCGCCCTCATGTGTCCTTTGTCTGCATTTCAGTTAGGTGTCTTATGTTGTAAAGTCAATTCCTCCCAGGTACTGTGCCATTCCCCTGCTCAGTGTTTGTGTGAGTCCTTCCTTCTGTTTTAGGTTTAGTTTTGGGTTTGAGGTTATCTGCCCTCCATTGGTTCTGTTTCCCACATTTAGATGTCTTCTCTCCAGCCTTCACTCCATACACCTGTTTCCTTAAATGTTCTCTCTTTGTATTTAAGCCCTGTCTTGTCTCTGTTTGGTGTCGGTCCATTCTCTCGTCTTGGATTACTGTGTTCTTGGTCTTCTCGTGTCTCGAGTGTTTTTTGGATGTCCAGATCATTATCTGGACTTTTTTGGATTTTGGCTTCCAGCCTTTGGACTTATTTTTGTTCTCCTTAAAATAAAGGATTTTCTTAATCATCATCTCAGCCTCGTGTCATCCTGGGTACTGCATTTTGGGTCCTACCTACACTGAACCGTGACACTACATGGTCCTTATAAATACATGTTATTGTTCTATTGTTAATCATTTGTTGCTCTTTTTTTTAAGTCAGTTTAAAAGTCTGAAGGTTCTTCATTAAAATTCGTGATTTTTTTAAAGGATTTCTAACTTGGTGCGTTTAAAAATGTTTAAGGCTAGATTCTATTTTAAGTATTTTTTGCATTATCCTTCACAATATTATTTAAACAGCACTACCATCAGGCTTAAACAGTTCACGACCCTGCAGTGGCCCTTATGCACAGAGGAAGTGACATCACCCACAGCCAGCTGTGTTTACGGCAGAGATGGGGAATTGTGGAATCAACAAGTCCGTGCGCCGTGTTTTTCTTCAGCTTAACAACTAAACCAGGTGATTTCAATCAGCACAGCGAATGAAACGTGTTCAGGTGCTGAGCAGAACAAAAACATGGAGATGACTTGTTGATGCCACGATTCCCATCTCTGGTTTACGGACATAAACACAGATGCTAAACGTGTCCGTGGATATTAAATTACCGCTCAACTTTCTACAGACTCCATTCTATTTGTCTTTCGGCGTCATGAGCAGGAATATGTCTACTTCCTTCTCTGTGCATTCATTTGCAATTCCCTGATCCACATTTGTGTTGTCTCTTCTGAAGTTTATAGTAGCAAATACTGAAAAGTCTCAGAAGGGCAGAAAACACTGTGTGTGTGTGTGTGTGTGTGCGCGCGCACGAGTGAGAAACTCACCACACCAAAGCTGAAGACGTCAGATTTGGGGGTGACTTCTCCTCTCAGTGCCTCAGGTGCCATATATGCACGAGTACCCACAATCCTCTCTGTCATCATGGTTGTCGAGGTGTGCTTGGCCGAAGCTCTTGTGAGGCCAAAGTCTGAGATTTTTGCCACAAGATTTTCATCTAACAGGATATTTGCACTAAAAGGGGAAAATGTACAGAAAGTATTTTACTTTTGTTTATTATGAAGAAGTGTTTGGCTTGTTTGTTGATGTTTTCTGCTAAGAGGCAGTCCCGATCAGCTGCCGGCTGCAGATTCATGTTTAAAATAATTTTATCTTAAATCCAGCAGGACAGAAACATTTAAAGGTCAGGGTTAGCCTAATCCTGACCCTACTGCAGAAGGACTTCCATCTATGTACCTTTTGACATCCCTGTGTACATGATGGTTCAGGTGTAGGTACTCCAACCCTCTGGCTGTCCCCTCTGCTATCAAACACCTCTGTCTCCAGGACAAGGGAGGACTTCCGTCCTTCGTGGACAAACACAAGCAGGTAAACGTCTTGCTTTGGTGTTAGAGAGCAGAGAAGAAAGGTGTTTACCAAGCAGGCTAGTCGATCCAGCAGAGATCCGTTCGCCATGAAGGCGTATACGATACACAGCTGCTGCTCATCACAGGAAAATCCAATCATGTCGACCAAGTTCTCATGTTTCAACCTGTGGAGTGAACAGGGTGAGTCAGCTGAGTTTACCGGGAGCAGGACAGACAGACACAACTTACACTTTCAAAGTTTGGATTTCTTGGTCGAACTGAACTTTCAGCTTGTCCAGCGGCATGTCTTCCACCTGTAAGAGACCGTGTTTCTGCATCACAACTCCAAAACATCTGCTTTACAGAAAGCACATCCCCACTTACTGGATTGAGTTTTTTCACTGCCACAGCTATGACATTCAGGAAACCTTTGTAGACCGTTCCAAAGCCCCCCATTCCAAGACGGCGACCTCCATTTGATATTGAGCGGTCGTCAAAGTTCCCAGTGATCCTCATCAGCTCTCTGTATGAGAAACTGGAGAAACCTAATCAGGGAAGATGCAGAAATAATTCAAACGATGCTACTGTCAAGCGAGTGCTGCCACCTGCTGGTTAGTTACGTAAACAGCAACTTTATGCATTTAACTAAACCAAATTAAACTTGATTTATGCTGCACATTTCAAGCATGGCTACACAATGTGCTTCACAGCGTATAGCATGCAAAACACATGCACAAAAAAAGTTCATGAAAATGTTGAACATAAACTGTATATGCAAAGCAAATTCATGAAAAAGAAAAGACACATATGCATCAGTTTAAGATCATACCCACATGCATACGCATTTATGCAATTCGATGCAAAATCAATACACATGCATATACAAATATATGTTATTTTTTCATGCACACTCCAATAAATAAGTGCACATACTCCTATGTGAACATTCACACAATATATGCAAAAACAGTTAGCAAAATGATTACAATGCACATTTAAGAGCCATTATTCACACACACACACACACACACACACACACACACACACACACACACACACACACACACACACACACACACACACATTCAAAAATTGCAACCTTTACTTCAGCACTTTCAGGCTCTTTACTTCTCCAACACATAAAACATAATTATATCTACAATTATAAGACACTTTAACAGACTAAACCCCATCAGGATATAGACTTCTTCACCTTGGGCAGGATGAGTTTTTCTGCTTAGTAAAGAAAATCTCAACAATTTCCCCTTTTCCGATGTTTTGTTGTTCTGTTATCTCAAATGTTGTTTTCTAATTAGTTACTAAATATCAGAAAATTGTCTTGTTTGATGATGATTGTATTTACTAGGGGAAAATAGTTAGCCCAACATCATACAAACATTCAGACACAGTGGTGGCTGTGTGATGGTCTGGAGCTGCTTTGCTGCTTCACAGGACCTGCTGTAACAGATGGAACTGTAAATTTTGTTCCCTACCATAACATCCTGAAGAATATCTGACCTTTGACCATAAACAGGTCATTAATGCTGAAAAATCCTCATATGTAGTTGAATTAAAGGAATTTTGTAAAGGTTTGTGTGTGTGTGTGTGTGTGGGGGGGGGGGGGGGGCACCTCTTATGGCACTGTTTGTAGTTGTTGCTGCAACTAACCAGTTGTTGTGTATAAGGGTCAATGCTGCTTTTTCCCACTTCATTTAAAAATATCTTTTGAAATGCATTTGCATTTACTATGATTATCTTTTTTGGATCACTTTTACCACACTTGATAACATATGTTAGGAAAAGGATGACCAGGAAAATACAGGTAGACCCACCGGTGTGTCCTGTTTCACGGTCTGCCTGCAGTAATTGCGTCTGTGGGTCAGAGCTGGAGGACGGTGGGGGAGTCTCTGCCTCCCCCAGCAGCCTGGTTGGAGGAGCTGGTGGTGCTGCAGAGAGCTGCTTTGTTTCAGCTGGGAAAACTTCTTCAACTGCAGTGGTGTAAACAGTCAGGTCACCCATCAAAACAGTGATGGAGGCGGAACACGCATGCGTGTAAATGCATCTTAATAAAAAATGAGACCTGGGAGGAAGAGGCAGGCAGCAGCCAGTAGATCACGACTCTTCAGAATATCCACCAGTTCTCCTACAGTGCTGTTGGTGGTCCCCCAGTCGTTCAGCAGCTCCACAGTGGGACTCCTGCCCTGGGCCACAAGCCCCTCAAACCTCCTGCAAGCACACAGATGGCTCAGGGTGTGTCTTACGGAAGCTGCGGGTGCAGCTGTAAGCCGCTCACCTGACATGAAGCTGGGAGTACCGCGGCTCACCGCCCGGCTTCCGTATGGACACAATCACGTCTTTCCATCTGTCTTGTGGGTCCAAAAAGTCAGACAGCGCGCGACGTAAGTCGTAACTGATGTTGCGGAGATAAGTAGCGGAAGTCAGCGACTTCTCCATTTCTTACAAAGCCTAGTTTATCTAACCACCATTATTACTCGATGTTAAACACCTTACAGTAAAAATATTCAGCGTAAGGGAAAATGTTAATTAAAAACTTTTGTAGCTCATTCTGTTTTTGTGATGTGTTTGGCTTTTCCGACATTGAGCAACTTCCCATAAACGTAACGCTGTTGGGGGCGGAACCATTTTAGGCTCCTCCTCCCATTATCCCGGAAAACAGAAGTGAGGGGGGAAATAACGTAACAGCGTCCTCGTGTGGACAACGCTTTTTAATTTCGAGCTCAACACAAATGGTTATTTATTTACGTATTTGTTGTATTTTATCTATGAAATTGTTTTGGTCAATGTACCACCTTATGATGTCTTCAAAGACTATAAAATGTTTCATATTTTTTCACACGTCCTACAACTCATTTCTACTGAAAGTATTATTCAATGTTTTTCTTGTTTAAAACTTACATAAAAAAGAAGTTTTGCTTATGTCTGTTTAATGCTGCATGATGGACCAGGAGAAGCATAATCTTTTCATCTGTGTACTGAATATTGATTAAAAAACTAAGATTAACATTTAGCCACACACTAATGACAACGTTGCAGCATTGCCAATAAAGTTGCTTGAATTATTCAGCATATCACCAATTTTTCATGTAAAAGGAGGTTCTTAGATTTTCAAAAATCAAGTTTCAATTTAAAAAGGATAAATTAGAGGTAGTATTATTACTACAACTATTATAATTAATCTTTATTTATACAGTGTATTTATATAGCGCCAATTCATAAACCAATTCACCTGAAGCCACTTTACAAAGCAAATATTCCAGTTGAACCCACTTAGTGCATTGAGTTCAGTTCATTATTCCAACTGTTTAAATGTTTTCTATCTAAGAAAACCCAGTAGATTGGATCTAGTCATTGACTAGTGTCAGTCTTTACAGCAATCCCCACACTAAGCAAGCATGCAGCGACAGTGGAGAGGAAAACTCTTCTTTAACAGGAAGAAACCTTCCAGCAGACTCTGGCTCAGTGTGAGCAGCCCTCTGCCACGACCGACTGGGGGTTAAGAGGACAGAGCAGACACACAAAAAAAAAATAGATGGAAGAACTGTTAACCTCAGTACTTACATTTGAAAGCATTTTCCAGGCATGAAGACTTTATATTTCCAGAGATGTTTGAAAATTTTAGAAAATGTATCAACAGTTAAATTCTTACCCATTGTAGGCAGTTTCCTGAAGGGCCTCTGTTTAAAGAAATAGTTTATGTCCAATGGCTCATCTGAGCACAGCAGAGTGTTGGTGCCATCTTAAATTCTCACCAATTGCCAAACATTTACAGCCGTTAATGTGAATATACATAATTTAATAAATCTTAATGCTGAAAGAGTATCTATGATTTTTTTAATTAAAGCAAATCTGTTCCCAACACAAGGTTAAGAAAAATAAATTATTTCTGGACTTGATGCAAAATACTGTACATGCAACATTTTACACAAATAAAAACCCATAGAGCTGTGTTGTGGAGCAGTGGGCTGCAGGTTCAAATCCAAGCTGTGGTGTTTCTGTGCAGAGAAAGCATGTTCTTCTCATGCACGGATTTTCTCTAGGAGCCCAAGCCAAGAAAGATAGTCCCTCCAGCATGTCCTGAGTCTTTCTTTAGGTCTCCTCCCAGTTGGACATGCCTGACAAACCTCACCAGGGAGGCATGCAGGAGACATCCTAACCTAACCAGATGCTCGAGCCACCTGAGACTCCTCTTGATGTGAAAGGGCAGCTTTCTGGTTCTTCTTTCTTCACCACGACAGACTGGTACAACACCCGCATCACTGCAGCACCAATCCACATATTGATATCCCACTCCATCTTTCCCTCACTGGTGAACAAGACTCCGAGGACCTAATATGCATGTTAGGTTAATCAATGACTCCAAATTGTCCCTAGATTTGAATTTGCAAATGATTGAATGTCGTTTTGTCCACATGCGTCCCTTTGATGGACTGGTGTTTTGTCCAAGGTGGTGATAGGCACCAGCTCCCCACAACCCTACTCAGGAATAAGAAGTGAGATGAGTAAGCAAGAGTAAATAACCAAGTTAATCAATAACAATATCTCTGCAATGCACATTTTATCAAATAACCTAGAACCAGACAGCCACAAAGTTCCATAGACCATGTGTTTCAGACTTGCATTCATCTCACCTGACTCAAACAGCCTCATTTACCGAAGCATGGCTACAAATGTTATATACAGTTGCTTTTCTTAATTAGCAGTCTCTTCATGGACAGTTAGAGTTCACTGGGATCGTAGGGGGTCTCCCATGTTAGAATCCAAATGAGCTGAATGAATGAGAGGACCAACGTAGGGACAGAGCAGAGCAGTAGGGGGTCTGGGCACCATATGAGACTCCAACAGAGGGGCTTCAGTGTGTGTTTGTAGGTCCACTGATTGTGTATCACTAATGGAGATGGACAACTCACAGCAGGGAGTCTCCTCTCACACTGAAACCAAAGAAACCAGAGACTGGACAGCTTTTTTCAACAATATTTTGTTTTCATTATCTTTTTGGATGTTTATAGCTGTAATAAACTTTCATGCAATAGCTGGAGTCAAATGAGAACATAGAAGGACAGTAATTTACAACCTGACACGTAGATGGCAGCAATGCCATGTTTAAGCTTTCAGAGTAGCAACAGACATTCTGGTGTGGAAGATTTAACAGAAACTGTTCAGAGTTTCACTAGTTTGTAATAGAATTCAGAAACATGCTTCATACCAACGTTGTTGTTTTTTCTAACACCAACCACAAACAGACATGTCATCAGGAACTCATTTCTAAGGAGTTGTTGGCATCTGAGCGGGCAATGCCCATTTATATTCCATCTCAAATCTTTGTCCGTTATGCTGAAAAGTTCCACATGCCATGAGGTGCAATGTAAAGAAATGTTCACACCAAGGAGTGGAGCAAGAAAAGATGCAAGAAAACAGATGTTAAGGAAAAATTAAAAACACCCATCCATACATCAATTTTCATCCGCTTTTCTGGGGTGGGGTCACGGGGGCAGTAGCCCAAAAAGACAAGCCCACACTTTCTTCTTCCCAGCCACTTGGGCCAGCTTCTTCGGGGGAATCCCAAGGCGTTCCCTGGCTAGCTGTTAGACATTGTCCCTCCAGCGTGTCCTAGGTCATCCTGTAGATCTCTTCCTGGTTGGAAAACCTAACCAGGGAGGCGTCCAGGAGGCATCCTAAAGATGCCTGAACCACCTCAACCAAGGGTGCCTCCAGAAAATTTTGATAGGGTTGGCCAGTGGGGGCCAAAGATATTTTGGTCCTTGTGGTAACTCTGGGGGAGTTTAGCCTGTGGCAATGCATTGCATTGCTCCTTTATGCAGTTTTCCATCCATCCATCCATCCATCCATCCATCCATTTTCATCCACTTATCCGGAGTCGGGTCACGAGGGCAGTAGCCTAAGGCGAGAGGCCCAGACTTCCCTCTCCACAGCCACTTGGGCCAGATCCTCCGGGGAAATCCCAAAACGTTTCCTGGCCAGGTGAGAGACATAGTCCCTCCACCGTGTCCTGGGTCTACCTTTATGTCTCCTCCCGGTTGTACGTGCCCGGAAAACCTCACCAGAGAGGCGTCCAGGAGGCATCCTGACCAGATGCCCAAGCAACTTCAACTGGCTCCTCTCAATGTGGAGGAGCAGCGGGTCTACTCCGAGCCCCTCCCAAATGACCGAGCTTCTCACCCTATCTCTAAGGGAGAGCCCAGCCACTCTTTGGAGAAAACTTATTTTGGCTGCTTGTATCTGCGATCTTGTTCTTTCTGGCACTACACAAAGCTCATGACCATAGGTGAGAGGAGGAACGTAGATCGACCAGTAAATCGAGAGCATCACCTTCTGACTCAGCTCACTCTTTACCACGACAGACCGGTACAACACCCGCATCATTGCAGATGCAGCACCAATCCACCTATCGATCTCATGCTCCAGTTTTCCCTCACTCCTGAACAAGACCCCAAGATACTTAAACTCCTCCACTTGGGGCAGGACCTCATCCCTGACCCGGAGAAGGCATTCTACCCTTTTCCGAATTAAGACCATGGTCTCAGACTTAGAGGAGTTGATTCTCATCCCAGCTGCTTCACACTTGGCTGCGAATCTCTCCAGTAAAAGCTGAAGATCACGTTCTGATGAAGCCAACAGGACCACATCATCTGCAAAAAGCAGAGACCTGATCCTCAGGCCACCAAACAGATGCCCTCCACACCTTGGCTGTGCCTAGAAATCCTGTCCATAAAGGTTATGAACAGAATCGGTGACAAAGGGCAGCGTTGGCAGAGTCCAACTCTCACTGGGAATGACCCCGACTTACTGCCAGCAATGCGGACCAAGCTCTGACACCGGTCATACAGAAACCTAACAGCCCGTATCAGAGGGCCTGGTACCCCATACTCCCGGAGTGCCCTCCACAGGGCCCCCCGAGGGACGCGGTCAAACGCCTTCTAAAAATCCATAAAACACATGTAGACTGGTTGGGCAAATTCCCACGCACCCACCAGGATCCCCCTAAGGGTATAAAGCTGTTCCAGTGTTCCACGGCCAGGATGAAAACCAGATTGCTCCTCCAGAATCTGAGGTTCAACAATCCGAAGGACCCTCCTCTCCAGAACCCCTGAATAGACCTTATCAGGAAGGCTCAGGAGTGTGATCCCCCTGTAGTTGGAACACACCCTGCGGTCCCCCTTTTTAAATAAGGGGACCACCACCTCAGTCTGCCAGTCCAGTGGGACTGTCCCCAATGTCCACACGATATTGCAGAGCCGCGTCAGCCAACACAGCCCCACAACATCCAGAGCCTTAAGGAACTCTGGGCAGATCTCATCCACCCCTGGAGCCTTGCCACAGAGGAGCTTTTAACCACCTCAGTGACCTCAGCACCAGAAATTTGAGAGGCCAACCCAAAGTCCCCAGACTCTGCTTCCTCACTGGAAGACGTGTCGGTGGGATTGAGGAGGTCTTCGAAGTATTCTGCCCACCGATCCACAACATCCTGAGTAGAGGTCAGCAGCACACCGTCCCCACTATAGATAGTGATGGTAACACACTGCTTTCCCTCCCTGAAGCGCCGGATGGTGGACCAGAATCTTCTCGAAGCCGTACGGAAGTCTTGCTCCATGGTCTCACCCAACT